ACCGACATCTCAACTGAAGTAATAAAGCAAAACAGTTACTGGGAAAAAAAAAAGAAAAGACTTATGAACGATTAAAGTCCATAAAAACTGACCACAAACTCACGTGCAGTAAAATTGAGTTATATCTTCACTGCATAAGTTTGTGTATTTTTAAAACGTTTCTGCTCAAATACGAATGCATTCCAAAAGCCGTATGAAACAATTTTTCAAATAAAAACTTCAAGTTTCGTTTAAAAAAAAATTTTTCGATTAGAACCACCATCAAAATATTCAAGGTTTTTTTTCGGGATTTTTATCAAAAACGTTTAAGTTTTTTGTCAAACTTTATCAGCGCTGAGGATGATGTTTTTCCCCAGTTCCAAAAATACAATATACATGCAATAATTTTGAGATTTCTGCGGAATTAGAACTAATTTAAATAATAAAAATGTCCCCACATTAAAGCCTCAAAAAAATTAAAATTTGAAATTTACAAAAAATTAGCTGGGATCTTTGCGATAGTCGCGAACTATCCAAATTCCTTATACTCAGTTTTCGACATTATTTGAAAAAATTGTTCGAAAAAAAGTAATGTTTTTTCAACTATCAACAAAATTCGAGATGCAATTGAAATATGTATGAGTATCTTGCGATATCAGCGGGCTATCTCAGATTGCACCAAGTTTCAAATTGGTTTCAAAAAACAAAATTGACACGCTGAAACAACAATGGAAAAAACTAAAATCCCTGTTTATAACGAGCAATTATCTTCTCTGCGATGTCCGCAAAGAAATATTGAAAAACAAATTTAAAATGAATTGAATAAAAAAAACAGGAGTCCGGAGTCCCTGTTTTTTTTTTCATTTCTGGATTTGATTGAAAGAAAAAATTCCTCAAGGTGGAGCGATATAAAAAATTAAAAATAAGAATGAATACACATTATAAAAGGTTAGTTCAAAAAAAACTAAGGGTTAATAAGCCTATTATTATATGATTTGTTGCTTTTCACAAACATATCAAGCTTATGTAATATATCGTACATGGTCACTGAAGCGTGTTCTTACCAGAATGAAAGCAAATTTTTTGGTTTTACCAAACATTAGATCACTGAGGAAAAACATCGACCAGCTTCAGCTTTATCTGAGTACAGTAGATTGTGAAACATTAGTTATTGCACTAACAGAAACATGATTATAAACGAATTCAAAAGCAAAACGCCTCAACATACAAAAGTAAAATATCAACTACTACCTTTTAAAAATAACTTGAAATGAAAGTTACTTTTTACGCTAGTTTATTTGAGTCCTGGATAAAAAAGGTTTGATTCAAAGACGAGTTTGGAAAGTTATTTGTATGAAACTGATGGTTGGACCAGATGGTGAACATTTTCTTTGTGGAGACTTCAATCATGAACACTTAAAACTCAAACTTTAATTGCATTCGAGGATTTTCCAAATGTATTCAATTTGAAATGTCAAAACAACCTAGATTCAACTCGCAAAAGATTTAATTCTTAAAGTTGCATAGATGTGGTGTACCCAAATTTTTCTACCGTTGTTCAGGTGTCGGATACATTGATTAATGTTATTCAACCGTAATAATTACAAACCTGAAAGAAACAAAAATTGTGTCTCTTGCTTAAACTTGACAAGAAGAAGCTTACAAAACCTGGAATACGTTAGAAGACAGGAGAATTAGCGAAAAAAAATTTCTAATTAGCGAAAAAAAATTTCTAAATGAATTAAAAAAGCATGACGAAGAAATCACAAACATAGATTGCATTGACTTTTTTCAATTCTTCCATCAGATAATTACAATAACCATCAACCATTTCGTTACAGCTAAAACTAGAGAAAAAAAAACAAAAAACCTCGATTGATAAAGAAATAAAAAAATTGGCTAGCAAAAAACCAATAGAGTCTGCAATTTATATCAGCTCAGGAAATGACGATCATGAAGCGAAGTTTACAAAAATTATAAATGCATCGCAAAAACTAATAGTCAAGAAACGAAAACAATTTTACCGCTATCAGCTCAGGAAATAACGCTAAACAAAACTCAACGCTAAGCAAAGCTCTAATTTAAAACTCATTTTGAATTATTGGGTTAAAACAAAAATCTGTTAATCTTAGCCAAGAAAAAATTGAAAATTTTAAATTTTGTTGCTGATATAGGACATCCATAAATCATTTCCAATATTTCAGCTGAAGCGATTTCAAAATAGTTTCTTTTCTCCTGTTAAGACGCGCAAAAGAAATCTCCAAGATCATCCGTTTTTTTTATACAAAATACAGTTGTGCTTTTTTTGGATCAATCTTTTTTGTCATGAAAAAGATAGAAAAGGCAATAATGAAAACACAAACAAAAAAATTAAGCAAGTATTTAGAAATAGGATGTTTTTTCAGACTGACTTAAAGTAGCCATAGTAATACTTATTCATACAAAAAGAACAAAAAAGGATCCTGATATTTATGGCCAATATTTTTTCACCAGTTTTCATCAAAATTTTCAAAAACTACTACATAAACGTATTATTGGTTTCTCAGATAAACATGGTGTTTTGACTCAAAAACAATTTAGGTTCAGATAGAAATCGTCATCAATAGATGCTCTGATAAAACCTCTTGGAAGACATCCAAAATGAGTGAATATTGAACCCTAATGTAACACATGCATTTTTGAAAGATCTCAAAAAAGCGTTCGATACCGTTTCAAGTGGTGCACTTGTACAAAAAGCTAAAAACTGCGGACTAGGAGGTCCCATACAAGCATTGCTAAAATCCTATTTGAAAAATGGATCACAAGTGGTCAAAGTAGCTCCAAAAAGTCGAAATTCAAAACAATCCTTTTGGAGTTCAACAAAAATCAGTCCTCGGGCCTACTGTTCTTTTTAATGATAGATGATTTACCAACAGTAACAAGCTTAGTGAACACATACTTATACGCTGATATTAAAGCAGCGAAGCAAAAAGACATCAAAACTTACACTAAAAAGTCAGGATTTAACAGAAATGAGAAATTGTTTGAAAATCAAAAAGCTAACTCATAATCTAGACAAACCAATAATCATAAATTTTAATAGGAAAAAAATCATAGGAATAGGAATAATACAAATTGGAACCAATGATCCTAAAAAAGTCTCTATACTAAAAATTTTATGGATTCATATGAGTGCAAAATTAGATTTCAAATTTCGTTTTGATTTTCTTGTCAAAGGTTTTGATTATTTTTGTCGGTTGCTGTACCAATTAAGTGGCCTACTAAGGACAGCATAACTAATTGAAACCTAATTCAGTCACATTAAGCCAATAATGAGATATAGGGTTATGTTTAGGGCCCAGTCAAAAAACTTCGCTACAAAAACTTGAAATGAAAGAAAACCAAATTCCGAGAAATTTTTCAAGAAAACGGAGATATCAGTCAGTAACATGTTTTAAGGAAACCTACAAGAAATGCTAAGTGAAAAAGTTGCACATTTACGAGGTTTTCAAGTTATTAACTACGCTTTTATATAAAGATTTAAACACTGAATTCCCAAAAAAAAATCAGTTTTTGACTCGGAGATTGAGATATTGAAACATAAAAACGTTTTCAAGATTCAAACCAACCAATAGTTTCACTGGTAAAAGTCCTAAAAAATTGATGTATGGTGAAAAACTTGTCATTTTTATCTAAAAAAATTTTTTGCAGATTTTTCTGATACAGCAATTACAGACTATCTTAATGATAGTCAATTAAAACCGTTTTTCTGGTATTTTGCGACTCTTACGTCTAAAAGAGGGGGCTGTATGGTTTGGACAACTGATAGTAATTTACAGTTGGAACTTTTTAGTACTTCTTAGTACTTCTTTAAAATTTTACAGCTTAATTGAGTCATCACCTGACTAGGCCTATCGGGCCTTTTGATGTCCTTGCATATCAGAATTATGTAAATTGACAAAAGTCTACTGAAGAATCTCGATATGAAAAGAATTTATTATTATTTTATATAAATGTGTCCAAACTCTATTTGAATACGGAAACACTATTGAAATTGAAAGCTAGGAACTAAAAAAATACAAAACATATGAGTGATATCATCGTTCTAATCATTGGTCTCCAAAATCCGACTATTTATCTCAAAGGTTTTTTGAATTGTTTGTGGCAAAATTCAAATGAAACTATTTGGGTTCCTGTTCATTATATGTTGCAATTCATAATATCACTACAGGTTAAACCGAGCTTGGCGTCGTAATTAAACAAAACAATAAAAGGACTTAGTCTCATTGTTGTTCGCATGCAATGAATTTCTTTTCATATGATTTTCTTCTTCGGAATTTTGGCTTTCATCACTTTTTTTGTAAATTTTGCGACTCGAACCTGTCAAGGTCAGAGGAGCCAAATTGCTTGATTCAAAAGGTCCTCAAACGTTTTTGGGAGACTGCACGATTTCAAAAACTGCTATTTGTGATGCTCCTACTTTATTCATTTTGAAGTTTCACAATTCTAATTTAATGTGAACGTTAAAATTTTCATATTTCGCGCAAAAAATTTCTGTAGAAGACAAGAAATATGCCGCAAGTCAAAGAATTATATGGAAAAATTTTCCTAGAAATATGCATTTAAAATACAGCTCGCAACCAGCAAAATTTCATTGAATGAACAAATATTTTCAATTTCAAGCTTAAGTGAATTAAGTTTTGAAAGACAAATAGTGTTCATTTGGGTTTCATCAGAAACCGCAAATTTACCTTAGTTGCCCTGAATAAAAATCTTTCATTTCTTTCATTTCTTTCAGAAATCTTTCATTTCTCGCCGCAATTTTTAAAATCTCGCGATCGAAAAAATGCGACATCAACTTCGTCTAAAACAAGATCGGTTGTGTTTGCATTCAGCTATGAGCACATGTAATTCAGATTCAGGAATCTAGTTCGTATTGCGATAGGCTCGGGTCAACAAAAACCAATCTATTCTCCATTGTATTGGAGTATCATTAAGTAATATACCATTGTTTTTGTTTCAAACCATCGATGCAATAAAGCTCAAACAATGTCTGATATTTAGTTAAATAAATAATCATGAGCTATTTCAGCACAAATTCACCAAATGCTGTAGCTCTGCGCTAAACGCTATATTTTTTACTATTGTTTTGTTCTAGTTGTCGTGCAATATAAAATTTTTTGCACCTGCTTTTTTTGCGGTGTTCAAGATTTCGTTTGTGGTTTTGATTATTTTGCTACCATCGATCAATTTAGTACAAAAACAATTGCCGCGATGAAACTTAATTCAGTATTTTTGCAAATTACTTGTCTGGGACATCATTATGACTCCACCCGAAAAAGCTGAAGAAAATAATTCTGAAAATCAGGCTCGCAACAAAATTCATATTCAGCGATTCGTTAACAAGTTTCTAGTCATGCAAAATTTTCATAAACAGTTAAGAGCAAAATAATTTTTGGATAAAAAAACACGATTTGCGCAATTTCATAAATAATTTTGGCGGTAGTTTTTTTATTTTAAGATATGATCAATTATGAATTTTTTTTGGATAAAAATTTTTTTAAACGAATGAAACGGGGTCAAAATTATAACTAAAACTTTTTTTAACAAGTTTTCCACATAATCGTTGAATATTCTCGAAAAAGGCTCAAGAACTTTCTTACTTCGATCGAGTTTTGTCGAGAATGACAGCCTCTAGACCTCCAAGTAGTCTTTTCCAAACCGGGCTGGCAACTCCGGATCCCGACAGCCAGAGCAACGCCAGTGGCGGCGTCATCCAACACCCGACAACATCTGACAACAACCGGAACAACAGCAGCGGTCAACCCGGGGAACATTTAATCCAGGGTTCCAAAAACCGATGGCTCAAGACGAAAATTTTCAGACTGAAAAACCAGACTTTAGGCGCATGTCGGCCAGTTTTTAATGAGAAATCAGCCTCAATTCTATTTTTTGCGATCGCGTTGATATTTATTCCAATTGGATCTATTTATATAAAATTCAACAAAGATATGAATGAGATCACTTTGGATTACACAGACTGTTATGCAGACGATGGGACAAACTGCAAGAGTTTCGTGCTCGATATAAATAATCAGATGAACGGTATGAATAGTTTTTGCTCCGACCATTGAACTTTGTATTCGGGTGTGTTTTAATTTTTTTCTTTCTTTTTTGTTTTCCACATAAAATCAGGTTCGCACCAAAAAGATTCATGGGATTGGATCGAGTGATATACCAAATTCAATCCCTTTCAGTCGTGATTTGAGCCGCATTTAAAAAAAAAATGTCACAGTTTTGAGAAAAATTGGTTTGAAATTTTGGATAACTAGTCTAATTTTGAGCGTAACGAGATCGAGTAACGCTCCTTATATCAAAATTGGACTTAAAACGGGGCCTAATTTGATTAGTTGTAAAAACCCAGAAGTTTTGTTTTCACCCTGGCAAACCAACGCTTTTTTATGCTTTCATTCATAATTTTTTTTAAATAACACAGAAAAAATTTTTAAAATTAAAACAGAAAATTTTTTAAAATATAACAGAGATATTTTTTAAAATAACACCCCTTCCCCTCTTTCCTTCCCGAAAAAAATCAACTGGTCGATGGTTACACTTTTCATTTTGAATAAGTAGAGTTATAACTCGCAAGAAATTACAATTTCTTAAAGAAACTGCCTCAATTATAGTATGCGAGTAGTACAATGTGTGTCTTAATATGCGTGTCTTAATGCACCCATACTAAGAGGTCACTCATAGTTCAAATAGAATTTAACAATTGAACTTTGTTTCAGGTCTGTCTTGCGAGTGCAAAGTGAACTTCTCTATATTCACCCACATGGACAAAGATGTCTACATGTACTACGGGCTGAATAAGTTCTACCAAAACCACCGAAGGTCAAATGGTTCTTATTAGTACATTTAATTTAGATATAAGCGTTTTCATCTTTTTACTTCACTAATGATAAAGTTAAACGCAGAAACAAATTTTCTTGGTTGTTGGCAATTTTGTTGGTTGTTGTTCAAAATGCAAAACAAATCCAAAAACTAACTCAGCCCCAGTCGTTACGCCATTTAGCTTCATTTTTAGCAGGCGTGAATGGATAACACTTTATGAAATTCTTCCGATCATCTATTTTAAATTCTTTTGTTTTTTTTTTGCTTCAACCCCAAAAACTATAAAAATCGAGTTTTCTTTTAAAACAATAGGTTTTTATTTCGACGCAAAGAGTCGCAGTATTCTGTGTTGTTTGCACAGCAGCAGTCTAGCTGTTTTGATTGGAGTCGGTTTTAACCCTTTGTTGAATTAAAATGAAGTAGGTTTGTGAGTGGTGGTTTAACTTGGAGAAGGGTTTGTGATATTCAGTGTTAGCGTTGAGGGCGGATCTCAGATGAGAGGGGTGGGGGGGGGGGGGGGGGGACGAGGATTTAATTTTTTTTCGAAAAGGGGAATTAATATTAATAATTCCTCGAAAAGGGGAGTTAATATTAATCAAGAATTTGGATAAGTGCACATTTTTGTGTCTGTATGTTCCTGGATTCCATAGACAAGTCTTTAAACGTGTTAAAATTTCAATTTTGCAGACGACAAACTTACATCTACTTTAATGGGTCGGTTTTTTAGCCTCAAAGATCGACTCTAGTTTTTGGTAAAAGATTAATCGAAAACTGAATTTGAAATACAATCCATCTCTCTTCGCAAGTTGATTGATAAAATTTGATTTAATTGAACTGATAGCGATCTAAAATAGACATCAATCGATCCCAAAAAAAAGAAACATCTTCATATAAGGAGATTTGTTTACTGTTAAGAAAAAAGCATCAAAAAGTGACAATTAAGTTTTCGTTTAATTTTGAATGCATGAAAAGTCAAAAAGATATCTTGAACTAGAATCAAAAAAATAATGTGTTCCAGGTATGTGGAATCCCGTGATGACAACCAACTTCTGGGCCGAGACATCGCCAATCCCTCCGACAACTGCGACCCATTCAGCAAGGCCTTCGACAAAAACCTCAACGAAACATTACCCGTAGTCCCTTGTGGAGTGATCGCAAACAGTCTCTTCAATGACACTTTCAAAGAACAGATTTTCCTTTTTCTCCAGCTGTCAATTAAATTTAATGATATAACCAATAATTTTACAAAACAATTTTTCACACTAAAATTTTTTGAACTTCTATTGTTACGTCCACTTGAAAAAAAATCAAAGAAACACAAGTTACGGGAAGCTCTGCGTGAATCAATAAAAATCAGATCCTTTCACATTTGTCATGGTTGAAAACTGACGAAAAAAAAAATAACAAACAAATTGTTTTCTGAAGTAACAAATCTTAAGAAAAGTAAAAAAAATCCAAAAATTTTATAGTTTTTTTATTCAGTTAGCAAGCCTCTGCTGCTATAAGCTTGCTGAAGATCTGAAAACAAAAAAATCAGGATGCATTTTGAAATATAATTGTTACATTCATAATATTAACCGAACCATATCAGAAATATCTATGAATATGATATATCACTCCAAACTATCCGTATTTTATATCTGCTACCTAATTTTGCAAGGAAAAAAATTCCGAAGCCTTTTTTTTCCAAACTTTTTTTTATCACAGCAACATAAAATAGATTAAACTTGAAGAAAAAAAAATTAGTGAGGGAGGAATTGAAAAATCTTGCCGTTCAGCTGGACTGTCTAGTCGAGGGGGGACCTTCAGTTCCGGTTCCTCTCCTCAAAACCGGAATTGCCAGAAGTGAAGACAAGAATCACAAATTCAAGAATCCGACGGGCACTGGAAGTTTGGAATCGCTCTTCACAGGAATGGCTCTTTTTTTTTAGAAATTCAGGATATAATTTTGTTAATGAAGGTTGTTGAATGGAGTTCTTGGTTTCCCTAACTTATTTCGACATCATGACCTGAAGTTCACTGGTTTATGGATGTTTCAAATTGAGATCTAAGCTAATTTAAGTGAACTAAATTGAAGATAATTTTAGAGTTAAGTTATGTCGACTATTAACGAATTATCGCAAACAAGTACATATGACTATGGATAATGCGGTTTGAAAAACTACATAAAACGATGCTATTTTCCAAGCTTTTACTCAAAAAACCTTAATGTAAAAAAAAACGAAACAGCCTAAGTCTTTCCATAACAGCTTACAAAAATTACACTTTTCACATTTCCAACCCCCTATGGTTCCTTTGTAGCAAATATACACCCCCTATCAATTTCACCACATGCTGTAGACTCTGGGAGCTTTGTGCCTTGTATCGAATTTTTCCTTTTTTCATAGGGGGGGGGGGTTGCGTAGTAGTTGAAGAGAACCTAATTTTGAGATTTTTTCTAATTGAATAATTTTTCTAATGGTGTGAAAAAGAGCCGCCTTTCGCAGGAACTACGAAACCTGCAAACTGGCACAAGTACATCTGGGAGCTAGATCCAGACAACCCAGGCAATAACGGCCTGGTCAACGAGGACTTGATAGTCTGGATGCGAACCGCTGCATTCCCCCAATTCCGCAAACCACATCGAAGAGTGGACCACAACACCGAAGCATTTAAAAACGGATTGCCCACTGGAGCTTACATCTTGTATGTTAACTATTCCTACCCTGTCAGTCAGTTCAAAGGAAAAAAATCGATTATTCTAACCAGTAAAACAGTGGTCGGAACTTTCGATGCGTTCCTAGGTGTGATGTATATAGTAGCTGGAGTGCTGTCATTTTTCATGGGGATTTTTGTGGTGCTGCTTCATTTTAAGTATTCGCTGTCGAAGCGAATAATGCAGGCGAATCCGGAGCCGAAAGACCTCGGATCAAGCATGGCACATCTGAAAGAAAAAGTGAAAAGCAGCGTAAGAGCTCGTTCCTCCAGACCTCAAATGACCAACTGAAAAGCAGTTTAAAAAATACTATAAAATGGATAGTTATTTAAAAAGAATTGATTCAATTTTATAACTCATATTTGATTCTTGGAGAATTTTTATGGTATTGAGGCAATGATAAATTAACGGGGGGCAATAGCAAACGCCTTTTAAAAGTAACACCCCCCCCCCCCTAACTGCCACACCTCAGGGGATCAACCCTTGACCACCCAAATGGATACTTTTTGGTACTATTTTGTTACATCCTTTTTTAGCTAAACGAGCCTAAAACTTTTTGAAGGGCGCTTAAAAAGCTTAAAAATGTTGTTTAAAACGTTCTAAAATACCGTATATCGTGTTTTGGGTAAGCTAGAAAAATCAACTAGTTCGACACCTACGGCACCTAAAAAAAGGTCGACAAAATTTTGGACAAAACTTGAAAAATTCCCCTCAGAAAAACTCTATATCCACCCCTGTCTTGAACGCATTATAAAGAAGTTTGATGTAATGGGTGGATTTTGAAAAGTGGACCTAGGATTTTCTCGAGGGAGGGGGGCAGTTTTCTAAAAGTATTCAAAAAATTTTTCGACTTTTTTTGGTCGACCAAATTGATAGTCGGAGCTCTCCCAAATCACTAAAGGGAAGAGACCCTGTCTTGGCCAAATTTGCACCGTAGGCCAAAAAACTGTTCGAAAAACACCAAAAGCGTCTTTAGAAAAACTTTCAGCAAACCTAATTGCAGGGCTAGAAATAGTAAAAGGGGTACCTTCTGGTTAGTCAAGGGGGGACGCCTCCCTCAAATCCGCTACTGAGATGGAGCGCTCTTGGCTTATATTTTTAGGGACTGGAACAAAATTTTACCCTCATTTCCAGTTTTGCGACCCAAAATATTTTTTCTCTGATGCGGAAAAACGGTCAGCATTTTTTTTTTCAGAAATTTTTTGGCAAAACTTTATTAAAGTCAAAAACTTTACTGTTTTGATTTTTAAAACAGAAGCGGAATAATTGCGATGGGTGTATTTTGGCTTTTTGGTTAGCCCTTTTTTACTTTTTAGTCTGCGAAGTCTCAATGCCCGAGCGCACTACTAAAAAATTTTCACCTTCATTTGTTAACGCGTGAGCGGCAAATGAACCAGATTCATTTATGATTTCAAATTAATTGGGGCAAGATAATTTATCTGAATTATCTGTTACCAATTAGAAGCGGATTACTTCACCTTTTAATTAACATGCTGGTAAGATTTCATAGATGATCTAAAAAATAAATTGTCACAGTTGATACTCTGTTTAACTTGATTTAACAAGTTTGCAAAGATTTTTATTGATATTCAAGGGCAGTGTTAACTTCAAGCTGATTTGGGCAGTCTTGGTAAACTGAAATCAGTTCAAACTTAATCGAAAACTAAAAAAGATGAGTGAATAAAAGGTTTTTTGTGGCTTTTTTCAATTCTTACATGTCATTTTGCAAGGATCTTTTTGCTGTCAGGACAAAAGATAGTATCTTGTGCCCTGACTACAAAAATGCAATTTTTGCTTAATGGCATTTTCAAACTGTAAAAAAAAACTCAAAAAAAATTTATTCGCTCATCAGTTCTAGTTCTCGATAAATTTTTGAATTGATTTTAACAGCTCTATACTATACAGATCCAGACTGGTGGTTTTAATCCACCTTGCGTCTCCCCCCTACTTAAGATACCACCCAGCTCTTAGTTTTGTACTGGAGTCAAAACTGGAAATCGCGTTCGACTTTTCAGGAAAAACGTAGGGTGACAACCAAACTATATATCGCAAAACAATTACAAAACTAGACCAACTCACTGCATATTTACCAAAATCGTAGCTTGAAGGTGGTATGTAACCATTGTCAAAATGTTATGTGATGTCTAGCCCGTACCAAAACTTCAGTTGAAGGGTGGCATTTAGATGTAACTGCGTTTTTTCAACGCAGCCATCGCTCACAATACACTTCTCTTGAAAAATTTTAATTCATCTTCTTGAAGCCATCCAGCGGTACTATCAACGTATAGCGCGACAAAATACCGTGATTTGATTTATAAAGTTCAAGAGATAATTAGTTTATACAAATATTCTAACATATTTTCATTCATCTGTTCATTTGCTTAATTAACTTAAATAAGGAGTTGAACAGATTAAAAAAAACATTTTAGAAATCTTTGTTTAAACTAATGAAACTGATGAATTTTTTCACTCACAAAATTAATTTAGCTTGAATGTAATTTTTAGCTTCTGTCTATCGTGTCTTGATGTAAAACCGTTTGATCAACTTTCGTTAGTCGCTTTCTTGCACTCTTCCAGAAATTAATACTACGACTCGTATTTAGAAATTTTGTCTCTAGCAGATTAATTACAGAGCAATTGCCTTTTTTTAGAAGAAACTAGATTGGAGATAGGGGCATGTCAACTCTTTGAGTATTGCGCCTAGCAAAAAAAACGATAAAAATGATAGAAACAATAAGTTTTATCAAATAGAATTACAATTGATTTGCAATAAAATAGATTTCAGCGATTTAGAAAAAAAAAAACAAAAGTACTAGTCTCAGACTTATTTGTATTGAAAATCAGGTCAATTCTGGTAAATAAAGTTGTGATTAATTGCATCCTTTTCAAGCTCATTAGCACTCTAGTTTACTTTGACGTTTCAGTTTCAATTTGATAGTTAGCTGATCAGCAAGTTAATTTATGTTCGAAACTATTGCAGCAAATTTATTTCGTTTTTTTTTTAAATTTCAACAGAAGTTTTGTCCGCCTTGATTGATTACTTGCTCAAACTTAATTTTCAACTTAAGTTTCAGTTCGTACCTCTGGACTGATATCTGATTGATTTGAATCTTCTCGTTTGAGATCTTAAGGCAAGGAATCTTTTGTCTAGTAATTTTTTGCTGTTTTATTTTATTTGAACAACTTTCAGCAATTGTTGTTTTGCGAAGTGAAATTTTTTTAAAACAATTCAAATTGAAAAATTTGATAAAGAAATTTTTAGTTGCAGTCTGTTCAACAAAAAAAAACTATGACTATCCAACATTGGAACTTTTCAAAAAAATCAGGCAACCCGGAGAATGCTCGTAACGGCATAGAGTGTGGTACTACTCATCCACCCGTGAATTGGAAAAGTATTTCAAAAAACTGAACGGTAGTATTGATCGGAAAGATGTGTCAAAACGCAAAGTATTGAAATATAAGTCTATTTTCAGCAAGAGGGAAAAATAATGGAGCTTTCTGAAGCTCTATTTTACTTGTTTACCTTTTTAAAGCTTCTCGCGTAACATTTGGTTTTTTTTTCGGTATCAGAATGAAGCTTAGTTAAACATCGAAGCCTAAAAATTTGTAATAAACACCCTTGGAAAAACTACAAATTTCTGAACTTTGCCTCGAAACAAAATTACTTGCAGGTTGCTGTAACAGTTAGTTTCAGAATCAAACATTTGAATTTGATCACCAATCTCATTCAATTTTTTTTTGCAATTTCAAATATCAAGATATGTTTGTTTATTTGTTAATTTAATACAACCCCAGAGAAGTTTTACGAGTTATGATGACCAGTTGCGTAAGGAAACAACGAAAACCTGAATATCATCTCCTTACAAAGATCAATTTTATTTTCAAAATATTAACCCAAACAAACATGGCAAATTCCTGTGCGACTTGTGCAGATTGTTCCAACAAAAATCATTTTGCTTGGTACAAATGTAATAAAAGATAAAAATAAGAAAATTTAATTTAAATTCGGAAAATTATTATTGAGAAAAAAAATAAAATAAATTAAACTCAAATAATGCCACAACCTAGGTAAACTAGCAAAAAAATTCCGTAGTGAACCAAAATCAATGCATACTCTAGCATCGATGAGCGGTGAGTCAGCACTATTCAGCAGTGAGTCAGCACTGCAAATACCCCAAAATCAGCGACGAACCAGCGATGCACCACCAAAGAATAAGCGATAAAATTCTCGGTGTGTGAAATACCTGTAGAATAACACTAAAAATTATTGATTTAGTGATGACTCCATATTGTTACAGTTCAAAAGCGTTTAAGATAAAAATACAAAAAGATATGAAACTTGTTGAACAAAAAAATCTGAGCTTTAAAAACTTTGAAGCATTGTGACCATGAAATTACTTTAACTCATCCAACTCATCTGTAGAAAATTCAATTTCTGTCTAAAAGTGTTTTTGTAATCAAGTCCAAATCAAATTAAGATTTATATTGATGTGTTAACACAAAAATTGTATCTATGGACAAAAGCAACAAAATAAAGCATCGCGACCATCGAGCTTTTAAATATATTTCAGTAGATTTTCAGCTGTGATTTTGTGCAATGATAAGAATTTTTTTATAGCTATTTACCCTATTGTGAGCTCAAATTGAAACTTCCAAACCATCTTACTACAATAAACAGATTAACATCCGCAATTTTTTTTGAAAATAGTTTTTTCTGCTTTTTTTGGTAGCTTTAAAATTGTTTAAGCTTATGAGTTTCAAGATTTGTAACAACAAAAAAGGATTTTTCAAAATTTCAGTTCGGGTTTTCACGTTTTCATTTCACAACAACTATCTCAGAAAAGTTTGTCAACGGAACTAATCAATTTTCTGTGAGATAAGAACTAAGGCTTTTCTAAACATTAAATGCAAAAAATACTCTTATTATCCGTTTTAAACTCATAATAAACCTCTATCTAGTTTATAGGTTTATGTTGGGTACGGGCAGGGAAACTTTTTTTGATATTAAAAAGAATAACAAAATTAATAGTTCAAAACATATGCCAAACATTGCTGATTTATCGCTGATTCAGTGCTGTTTTGCTGATTCAGCGTTCATTATAATTGTACTTTTCAGGGCTAGGTCATTG